GCGATTCCTCTTCGTCATCCTCGTAACGAACCACGTGCTTGGAGGTGATTTTATCGAAGGATTTGATGGAACCTTCGTACCAGGCATTGTCTAAAGGCCAATAAACCTTGATCCTTCGGCCAACGACTTCTTGACCGTAGAGAGAAGACGAAGCGCCGATTATAAGAAGGGTTTTGTTCGGTTTGGGATTGAGAGGTGAGGGAGTGATAGGTGTGGAACTAGGGTTAGGGTTAGGGTCTGAAGCGTTGTTATTGCTAGGGTTTGGTTTTTCGTTGTTTTTGGCGAGCGTGGGCGAGGGGGAAGGGGATTTGGTGAAGAAGGAAGTGATTTGACGCTGTTGATTGACGAGCGGTGATCGACCATTGCTGTTGCGACGAGAAGGACCCATTGATGAGTTGTGAGTGTTGCACAGTGCAGTGAGGGGAGGGTTATGGTAACATGAGAGGTGGTGATGGTGGTAGCGGTGGCGGGAATCCTTTCTCGCGCATGGCGGGAATTCACTGCTATATATAGTCTCAGGTTCTCTCACTCAATACTGTGAGTAATGGTAGTTAAGTTTTAGAGCTGTGTGCACACGCCCTGCATCCACCGTTTTGGAAAAATAAATATATTTTGTCACTAATTTGTGTTTAGAGCATCCTAATAATAACTGCGGGGGCCGGATTTTGCCTGATCGATACCCGCATTCAATTTTTTTAACTATTTTTGTGCCCGTTTTCTAGAAATTAAGTACTTCGTTTTTGTTATGGTTTCAGATTTTCTGTACTCGTCTCATGATCTATATTAATTTTAAAAATATAATTACATTTATAATAAATTAATTTTATTATCTATTTTTTATATATAAATAAATATTTATAATTTATAATTATTAATTAAATATACATTTTAATTTATTATATTTATATTAAAATATATATATGTAAAAGAAATATTTTTTATTTTTTATTTATAACATTATTATTATTATAACACTGTATTCAAATATTTGAATATTTATAACATTATTATTATAATACTAGATTTAAACATTTAATTATATATATAAGTTAATTTATTTCTAAGTTGTCATTTAAAAATATGAAATATATAATTTATAAGGAAATATTTAATAAGTTAATTCATATTTAATTAGTTCAAAGTAATAAATATCAATTCCTTTAAAATACAATTATTTTATTAAGATAAAATTTGATATATGATAAATAAGAATAATAAGATAAAAAATATGACATAATAAAACCTAATAAATATAAATTATAAATAAAATAATATTAGTTACTACTAAGATTCATGAAATTGGTTGAAAAGATTGAAAAAAAAACAAATTGATGGGAGAAATTAAGGAAATATAAAAAACTGAAAGATAAGAAAAAAATAATGTAATAAATTAATTGATATAAAAGATTAAAAAAGACAAAAATATAAAAAAGTTGTAAAAGAAAAAAATTTGGTGAAATATAAAAAAATGATATTATATGTAATAGAAAAAGAAAAGGAAATACTTTTACAATATTAATATTTTAAATTTTAAATTTAAATATAAAGTCGAGGCGGGACGAGATCGGGGCGAGGTGGAGATTGCATTACTCATCCCGCGCCCGCCTCCGACTTTTTAAAGCAGGAAACTCGAATCCGCCCGCCTCGGTCAACTCGGATTTTTCCAGTCAAACTCGGACGCGAATCAGTCCTTACGGATACGAGTTTAATTGTCATCCCTAATACTAAGATAGGAGGGTAATTTTTTTTAGAGCATTTTAATTTTTTTATTTGATAAAATTGTATTTATTGGATTTTTTTTAATGAACTTTAAATAATTTGCTATTATTTTAACTATTAGATATGTATGAGAAAGAGAAAAATAGTTAAGAAATTAAATATGCCTTTATCCATTTCTATTTGAAAATCTTTACCGTTTTATCTCAATAAATTTGAAAATATTGTGTTTAAGACTTTATAATTAAAAAAAAAATAGTTTTAGTTTTTGTAAAATTACATACATTAAGTTATATTAAATGACATTTACAGTGAAATTTAAATTAAAAAGTATTCAGGTTAAGAAAAAATAAAAAATAGACACGTAACATAATGATACGATACTACTAACAAGATGGAGATGGTTGAAATAATAGGAACATGTGTATTTAATATTTGATACATTGATATTATTTTGAAAGTTGATCATATAACACAGAATAACGATATGCTTGTCTCTGCATTCTTCCTAGACATACAACCCGGGGAGGGATTTTTTTCACCTGACCAGGCTCTCAAATTTGTTTTCTTTAATAGTTTCGTTCCGTTCCGGATTAGCGTGAGTGTTACAATTTAACTTCTCATTCTCAGTGGTCGATCCATATTTATTTTATATTTATAATAAAATAATTTAAATATTTTATATATAAATAAATATTTATAATTTATAATTATTATTAATTAAATATGTATTTTAATTTATTATATTTGTATTAATATATATATATATATATAAATATTTAATATTTTAGAATATTTATAATAATATAGGAATAATATTATTACATTGTATTCAAATATTTAATTATATATATAATTTAATTAAATTTTTAATTATTATTTTAAGATATTAATAAATATAAAATATATAGTTTATTAGAAATTATTTAAGAAATTAATTATTATTTGATTATTTTAAAATAATAAAAATTTTAATTACTATTATTTTTTAAATATAATTATTTTATTGAAATAAAGTTTGATACATAAAAAAATAATTATAAAATCTAAAAATATTATAAAATAAAATTTAATAAAAATAAATTAAAAATAAATATTATTAATTATTATTAAGATTGAAAAATAATATTAAAAAAAATTTATATTTATCGTATTAATTAAAAAGATTGAAAAAAATCAAATTAATTAAAAAACTAAAGAAATATGAAGAAGTCAATAAAAAAATAATATAATAAAAATATATGAAAAATGAATAAATATATAAATAATTTTATATATAATAAAAAAATTAAAAATATGTTTTTTAAATTTTAATATAAAATCAGACAGGAGTGAAAATACATTACTCATCCTCATGTACCAATTTTCTAAAACTGAAAACCTACACCCAGTTAACTTGTCATTATACGAATTTAATTGCGTTTCCTAATTTTAGGTTGCTGCATGCCTTTTGTGTTGTTACAAATGTCTCTTCTAATTGTGTTTTGAAAATAAAATATTGATAGAAAGTTATTCATAACATTCTTCCGTTTCTCTGTCTTTATGCTGTTGTGTCCTTTATAAAATTTATTTCTTATATATGTTCAGATTTATTCTTTGTAGAAAGCAAAACGATTTGAGAGAATAAAACAATTGAGCAATTCTTATTTTATGCCACATCTATTATGTGATTGTTGTGAGTTATATGTTGTCCTTTATCTTGAACTTTGAAATTTAGGTTGTGAGAGTGGTCAACTTGAGAAGTTGTGGTTAATGATTAATGTTGAGACACCTGGAGTGGTTGAATTAAATAAATTACAGTGTAAGCAACAAAATAATGTTTTTCTCTGTACAGATGTGATTCAGATATTAAACCACTAATGAGTGACACTATTGTATACATTATTTTAATGAATGTGCCGATTGCAGAACAAAATTGTTGTATTGCACAAGTTCTCCATTGTAATAAAAGTGTTATATACAAACAAAAGAGTGCTCTTTGTGACAAATCTTCCAAAAATAAAACTTCAAAATGGAAGATTCATCCTGTTGGAAGAATGAAAAAATATTTATTAATTAGTTAGAAATAGTGTGATAAATATCTAACTTCACCATGAGGCATGTCACGTCGGTTCCTAAAATTCAAATAATTTTTCGATCTTATTTAAAATACCTCATTCTCTCTACCCCACATCAAACATTATTTTTTTTATTGGAATGGACTTTCACTACCTTATTTTTGTCTCCCATTTTTCATCAATAAACAAATGTTTAATTTATAATGTTTCCTTTATTTAATCATTAAAACATCCTTATTCTTTGGTTAACACTTATTAATTTGTTTCTAATTTGGTATGCAATTGTCTGTTCTTTGAAAGTGGTGGTTTTCATTAATACTGTGTTTTTAAAACACACAAACAAACACACACACACACACACACACATATATATATATATATATATATATATATATATATATATATATATATATATATATAATGTCTGTAATGGATTAATTGATCGATACAAAATGTCCATGTTGGTCATGAATTCAATAATTTAGAAAATGCAACTGATTTTGGAATGAATTCAAGAGGCATAAAAGTTTTGAAAAATTCTAGCGGAGACAGGTTCAGTTTCCCTTGTCGTGTAGGGTTTTGTTTCGGCAAGAAAATGTTTCATTAATTAAAAAAAATTAATGGCTGAGATAAAATAATAACAAAATGTTAAGATTTAATTTTTTAAAAATGATGCAATGTCGTTTGGAGCAGAGACTCAAAACATGGAGAGCGCTGAAGACAAGCCAAATATATGACATTTCTAAATACAGATGCCTGGGTACCGTATGGAAAACTAGCTTCGTGAACTTGTGAAGATTTATAGAAGCATAAACATACCAATTTCCTGACGAGTGACGCCTTTGGCCAGGAGAAATTTAAATGGATATGGCTGAACACAAACACAACGCAATGTAAATAGTTTTCCTATTGCCTATTTCCAATGTGTCAAAGGGTAAATAAAAATGAACACAATGCATGCCAAGCTTGTACAGTTCTACATTTTACGATCAAGAAGCAACCAAATCGTGCTTCAAGTAGGTACTAACTTCGGTGCACGAAATGTAATTTAGCAATTACAGTACTCAAGTAAAAGTACAAATCTAAATATTAAGAATACAAAAACCTAAATCTAACTAATAAAAACTGAAGTACAGAATATGATTTCCCCAAGTCCACCAACTACTCTTATCCAGCTTCTTGAAACTAGATTGCCTCAAACCATGCTAATGGGGGAAAAGATGTGCGTCAAGCATCAATAAATCTAATGTCAAAGGTGTGAGGATGTATCTGCCATACATTCAGTGCTGCATACTCTTCCAAGCACTCTTTTAACTGAGCTTCGCTATAACCCTGTTTGAAACCCAGAAGTTCTGCTGTCAGAATATTATAATCTAGAGGGTAACAAAACACGTAGTTAATCATCAACCAACAGTGTCTTGCTCTGGCTTCACACAACTTAAACAAAATACTAAACGCTAGTACATTTATTTCATAGCCAAGTTTCGCATTCCAGTAACTAATTCCAGAGAGGATCAAGAAATAATCGGTGCAATTGCGAAAAAACTTTTGGGTCTTTATTCAACGAAAAAAAATTATATACTTTTAATTGTTCGATGATCCTTTACTTTTGAGCCCTAGTGTAGAACAATCTAGCTTGAATCTAGTCTAGACTCTTCAAATTTGATGCAAAAATAATCGAAAATAATTCATAATAAACAGTATTCAACAATGAGCAATATGTCATTACCTTCCTAGATATCCAGTTCAGTGCATGGGCGTAGCTGACATCCATTCGGTTACCTCTTGCTGCTTCATCTCGCAGTATGGAATAAATATCAGATATGGCATCCAGTCCAGATTTTTGACGGTCACCAGAGTACAAAGAGAATTTTGACATCTGCATTAACCTCAGTGCTTCGTCCACATCACTCTGAGCAACAGTTTCAGAAAAACGGAGTCTTGCTAATGCCTGTTCAGAAAATAAGAATGGAATAGCATTTGCTTAGAAAATATACAATTATAAACAATGCTTACTATTACAAATTGTCGTCTTAAAGGCAAAAATATTAGCAAACGCCTAAATCAGTTTTAATTTAAAAAAACTGCACTTGGATAAGTATGTATATAAATCATTAACCCCCAAAAGAAAAATCAATGTAACCTAAACACTTAATTTCGCTGCCCTCTTTCACAGGGAAAAGATGAAGACTTACAGCTGATATGCGAAGAATGCTGAGCAATGTTCTGACAGTAGTGTACGAATGTGGAGCATTGGACCTTGCTTCTTCTTGACGAATGCTGGAGTATGCAGTAGCAATATACTCTTCCAGTTCCCTAGGAACACTAGGAGACAGTCTTCTCGCAGCTGATATGTATGCACTATATGAAAGCAATACATTTGATTTTGTATTAGTTTACTTTTACAAGTAAACAGAACATTGGCACAATCTCCTATGTGAAACTAAATGAGAAGTTACAATAAACAAACAATCAAATGAGCAACATATGCATCGTATTCAGTGTCTACTCCTTTCAATTAAGATTAAAAGATGATCAAAGTTCTTCTGTACTTACCGTAGAACAGATGGATCAAGAGGAGTGAATCCTAGAGCAGGAGACTCCTTATTTTGGTGAACATATACAACATGCCTAGCCATTTCAAGATCATTATCCATATCAGCTCGATCAAGGATTAACCACAGAAGATCAAACCTTGATAGAAGCGCATGAGGAAGATTAATATTTTCAGCTGGAGTTCTTCTTAGATCATATCTTCCCCTTCACAATAAAATATGCATAAAATTAAATTTCGAAAGCACAGGTATTGATGAACACCTAATCCATGCACCCAACAGGTGTGCACGCTTATAAGATGCTTCTGCATCCAATAAGGTGAAAATAAATAATACCATGCTGGATTAGCAGCAGCAAGGACAGCAGTCCTTGCATTCAGAGATGTAGTGATTCCAGCCTTGGCAATGCTAACAGTTTGTTGTTCCATAACTTCATGTATAGCTGTACGATCCGATTCATCCATCTTGTCAAATTCATCAATGGCACATATGCCCATATCTGCTAGAACCTGAAATTCAGAAAGTTCTTTCACAAATCTACTTATAACTAGAAACAACTAGTTAAAAGACATATATGGTATTAATATAGGGGATTAAGAAGTAATTTGATGCCCGATTTATTTTCCATCTTATTTATTTTCAAGAACAAACAACATTTCATATGCATATTTAAGCAGAATTTTCTAGTTTCCTCAACCTAGCATTTATAAGAACAATAGATGGGTGGAAGAAATTGTTGCACTTAAGAAAGGAAGCTTCCATTACCAATGCTCCACCTTCAAGAACCATCTCATTTGTCACTGGATCTTTTTGAACAGCAGCAGTTAGACCAACTCCACTACTTCCTCTGCCGGTGGTGTACACCCCTCTGGGTGCTACATTGATTATGTGTTTAAGAAGCTGACTCTTGGCAACACCAGGATCACCCATCAAACATATGTGTAAATCTCCTCTAATCTGAACAAAATGAAGACTGATATTTAGTAGTTTAGTCATGTACATGTATATGAAACAAAATGTAAAATAAGCTTCAATCAGTGAAAGTATGTTAATAGCAATGGTGTGAAAGCGAGAGGAAAAAAAATACTGATTCCATACTTGAAATTTTATCACTAATATAATTATAATTTTGCAAATGACATTATGCCTTAATCCCTACCCTACAAATTCAACACGATTTTCGTGAAAAGCTTAACCTCTAGTAAGTACATGCGGTTTTATTTATACACAGTTCATGGTTTTACTTATATATAGTTCATTACCTTCATTCCATCTTTCAAGGTCCGATGGGGAGCCCCAACTAGGAGAAGCAGAAGTGCTTTTTTAATGTCGTCATGTCCAAAAATTTCAGGAGCAAGTGATCGTGATAATTTATTGTAGATGTCACCATCCTCTGCCAATCTTGCAATCTGCTCTTCCTCATCTCCTCTAAGTTCATATCTGACATAATATATTGGTTAATTGCTATGAAGTACCGATACTTCAATTAGTTTCACATATCATGCCCTATATTCTAGGTTACTTCACCAATACTTATCGCTGAAATATGCAAACTTATTAAGCACCAATTTTTGCATACTTCATGTTGTGCATTGGTGAAGTGTCCAAGATTTTAAAGCATTTTTACCCAATAAAACTACAAGAAACATATAAGTATATGTAACATAGAAACATAAATATAATTTCTTTATATACCAAAGAATGAAATTTTTCTTTATGAATTATTTTAAAAGACAATGAGATTGATAGTATTATTCCCATAATAGAAAGTAATTTGTGATAATGATTTACAAAATTTTATTTGGGAAATGTCTAAAAATATGTGACTTTAATTTGGATTTGCATAATTGCAATAATATATTTATCATGTTTCATGAATTCTTGTACAGTTGTAAATATGAATCTTTCACTTATCATTTTCTGTTATTTCTAAAATAAACTTACCACTGTATTGATTCGCACATATCCAATATGCGGATCATATCTGGGAATCATAGGATATGCGGCTGTTTTTCACCTCAAACTACTGTATTAATATTAACTAGTGGATATGTATACATTATGTTCAAGCAAGCCACAATATCAGAACTTAGTGTTGGTAAGAAATTTGGAGCCTGTCATTACCAATTAAGATCTGAAAACTAACTTACTCTTCATATTTTCTCTTGAAATGAGTTACAGACATGGCCTCTAGGTAAGTGTCAGCAACCAATCCCGCTCGCATTGCTCGAAAACCAGTGTAAGGTATAGGAAGAAAAATCCCAGATAATTCAACCACATCACCTGGAGCCACCTGACAATTTAAAAAAGCATGAGTTAATAAACCGCAACAGTTAATTTAATTAGCCAGTGAATTTCAACTACTTGACAACATATATGGCAGGAAATAACCAACCTTTCTGGTGAGTTCTCCTCTTAAATGAACAGTCATTGTTCGTGGAATATGGCCTTTGGGAACATGTTCAGCTAATTCTTGAATTTTGGCCTGGAATTTAACCATATCATAAATCTCTTACCATGTTACACTAAAGTAAATAAACAATTGTGTAGACTCTATAGAACAATATGAATAAAAAGGTGAATAAATATGTTTTGATGGCTTCTTAACCAGAGAGCAAACCTCTTGAAATCTCAAAAACTTTGATGCTCTCAGTTGAAGAATAACATTCCCCTTTCTTCTATTTGTATCACAGCGCTTAGATGGACATTCAAACAAGGGCATGAAGATTCGAGCTGTTACTTCCTGTTTAGTAAGGGGAGGGAATAACAATGTCAAGGACCTGCTGGCATGTAAATACCATAATAGTCTAGCCATATTCCACAACAGAAAATATTAAGCCATAATAAGAATCTTACAAAGTTTAATAGAAAGTTATAATCCTTAAAATACTGATGTTTAAAATCCTGGCAATCAAATCATTTCGGCAAAGAGAAAAATTCTAAAAGTCTGATGGACATTTTTTGAAATCATGCCAAGCAAATCTCATGCAATAGTTCTTTTGTTTACTTTATGCTGGATAAAATCTAATCTAGTGTCTAAATTGTGCAGTTCAAGTAGTCATTTCATCAATCACCTGGTAAATTTCAAATCCACAATCCTCGCACGTGTATACAGCAACTTTCATCAATGGTTTAACATCCGAACAACGTGTCACAATACCAGAGATTCTTACAAGCTGGCCAATGTTCGAAGCTTTCACCTCCCTAATTGTAAATGGTCGTCCTTTTGAGGATGCTTTAATATAAAGCTCACTGCAATACAATCACGAGGGCAGATTAGAACTCACATCACTTATAATTAATTAATTAATGCATAGTGGATTACTTTCCAACCAAAATATAATAAATTGATCTTAGGAAACAAATTTCTGCAATTACAACTCCACAATCACTATAAATTTAACGAAAACAAAGAAACAAATCTCACTAGTAGCGCTTGATTTCAGGAGGCATCTTCTGAAGTGGATCGGAACCGTCAACACCTTCCGCTCCTTCGTCAGATCTCTGAGTCATCAATATGTCATGATCATCATCCGTGAAGGCCTCAGTGGACTCTGGCATGAGCTCGTCAATTGCATTGGAGAAAATCCCAATATACCTTCGAGTGTTCTCAGTAACACGACCCAGAAATTCTTCGTCCAGATCCTTGTACTGAAATTCGCCGAATAAAAAAATTAATAGAAACGTGGATTTTGATTGGGAAGCATAATAGAGTAACAATTATTACGTTAATTAAGTCCTCAAGGTCGATCTGAACTGCTCTAGTTTTGTGGTTTGCAACGTCTTGCTGAAACGAAGAAAAAGAGGATAAAAAATTAGGGCTCCATCGTTGTTATCCGAGATAAATAAGAGTTAAAGCAGAATAAAGAACTCACCAGGATGTTCAGGTATTTAGCTTCGCCATTGGCATCTGCGAAATTGGAAAGGAACTCCTTCGCCAGAGCTGGAGAAAGAACAAGTGAATTAACCAAATCGGAAAAGAAATTAGGGAGACTGGGAGAAGAAAGGGTAAGTTTGCAAACCCTAAATGGCAAGAAACTTGAAAGGGGAGAGGGAAAAAGGAAGAGAAACTTTCGGGTAGTAACTCATATCGGAAAACACAGATTGGAGAAAAACTGTTTACCTATGTCTGCATTGAAATCAAGGTCCTTGGTGGCCATAGTGGCGAAGATTGCTACAGAGGCAGGAGCAGGAGAAAGAGAGGGAAGCGGGAAAATGCACCGAGGTAGTCTGAGAATTGGGCGCCAAAGGGTATATACAAGTGGGCGAGTTTTGGCGGGAAAAAGGAACAGCCTCTAGGATGTGATGCGGTTCGGTACACGGCAACGTATAATGTTCCAGTATATGACTGAAAATTATGTGTAATTTTCTGAAATGTATTCTTTTAATTTATTTTTATTTTTCATAAAGTTATAATTTTAGCTAAGTTATTTTTTATTCACGTAGTTTATTTTAATTATAAACAAATATTTTAAAAAATTATAACTATTGTTCAAATGTTTTTATTTAGAAGACAATTAACAAACAATTATTTAATATTTTAATAAATAATGTATTTAAGATTTACTTGCCTAAATTATTAATACGCATATATAAGATAACATGCTGAATACACAATATATATATATATATATATATATATATCATAATTACTACGTAAAATATTATTTATATATTATATTTATTATATATTTCTTATTTTGTATATATGCTATATTATTACATATAATATTTATCATTATGTATTGTATAAAATTCTTATATATTATATGTATTACGCATGATAACATTATAGTTTATATATTATATAGTATGAATGTTTTTAAGGATGAATATGGTTAGAGTACATTAATATTAAAAAAAATCTTATCATCTAATCATATATTGACATATATAAAGATTATTATTTTGTTAATAATGATTTGACAAATTATATTCTAACAAAAATTAAATTAGTTAACGATGTAAATTTTTTTATGTTAACAATGACCATATATATATATATATATATATATATATATATATATATATATATATATATATATATATATATAAAGGTAGAATGATAAAGCAAATTGGATCCACCAGAAAAAAAAACGATGGAAAAGACTGGTGAATATTTTAGTTTTAACAAATTTTAAGAAGATGATTATATATATATATATATATATATATATATATATATATATATATATATATATATATATATATATATATATCATGAATAAGTATCGTGGTCAAATAAAATATTTCATGTATTTTTTTCTTTATTTTTAGTATTAATAATATAAATAAAATATTTATTTTTTCAATGCAAAGCTATAATACTAGTTAAATATTAAAGTCATTATAAAAATACTAGTTAAATATTAAATTTATTAAAAAGAGTGCAAGGAAACTTGGTCTCTGAAACAGAGATGAACGGGTACCATGATGGTAGGCTCCACTTCCTGGTTACATAACATGTGTATGAAGAGATTATATCTTGATCCTTATGTTTGTGCCAGCTTTGCTTGTATAAGTCTGTCCAATATGGGGAGCTCCAATGGAATCGGATCAAGGCATCGCTCTACTGCGGCAACAATCACCTGTTCACAAAATAACGAAGGTGGAAAATCGATCGAAGGGAGAATCTAGAGAAGAATATGCCAAGAGAAAAATAACTAATGTTTCATTGAAAAAAGTATAACGATACCAATTTGAAAAAGTTAGAAGCAGGGCAAGATTATTTCCAACCTCATCAAGCAAGAAGTCCATTACAGCCTCATCTTCAACTACTTCTTTCAATGGAGTCCTCAAGAACTGAATATCCAATTGAATTTGCTGGAATCCACTCCGGTTAAAAGTCTGGACCCGAACATATTCTTGTATACTTTTAAGGCACAATTTAACAATGTTCATAAGGACTGATTCCTGCAGTTTGCGAGCAAAGATTGATAAAAGTTGTTTGCAACCAATTATGCAAATTTTGCGTCACTAATATGATGGTTATTCAATACCTGTGTATATTCTACTTTTGTGAAAATTTCAACCTTTTGCTTAAACAGCTTCGCTAGGTGTGTTTCCAAAAGCTGTTGGCTCCTTCCCTTCTGAATATTAGAGCGACTCAACTTCTCCTTCTCCTCCCGGAAAGAGTTGCTTCTTGATGAAGCAGAACTTCCATTACTATCAGCTCTTCGGTGCTTCGTCAAATCTTGAGGCAAAATCTGCTTCACTTCATTATTCGTAATTTTGAGCTGGAGCATCAAGTAAGAGACATCAAAATGTAAGTATTAAACACCAAGAAAAATTAAATAAAATCAATAATCGAGTGCAATTCTCAAACAATTCATACAACTTAAAAGACGGAAAAGAAATAGAAAGCATTTGATTTGAAAGTACCCACCTCTTGTAGAAATAAATCAACAAACATATGAACTTCTCTTGGTTCCTTGTGCTGTGCAAACAAAGCAAAGCAACAACTTCATATTCAAACTCTTTGAAAGATAAAAATGGTATTATTATTATTATTATTATTATTTTTGAAACGAAGACATAAAACATACTGACCTTAACCCAATTAGGTGTTGCAAACCTCTTCTTAAGGAGAAGTGATATTTGCTGAGTTCTCATATTTATGTACTAAAAAGAATAAAATAAAGAGCATGTAATGCTTGTACATTGTTATTTTAATAGAGTAAACTTCAGTATGAATAGGAAGAAGTATAAGGGTAAAAATATTAAAGGTTACATAGAGCAACGACAGTAAATATGACGTCCGCTGAGTTTAAAACAAAAGCACTCAAGAAAGAGTGATATAACAGAAACATCACTAAAGCTAGGCAATTATTTTGTACACTAAGACACGACGTCCCTTGAGCTATGTCCTGATTTATGGAAAGGAACAGAATGATACTGTTCGAATTATTCTACAAGATTAAATTAAGTGAAATATGATGGAATGCATTCCATTCAAGTCCATCCAATGCCCCTCTTTTCCTTTCCTTTCAATTTTAGGGCATGGAATAGAAGTAGATCTCCATCATAAAAGAATATCTAAAACAATATATTGATAGTTCTTTTGCATTCTATTCCACTCACCATCCGAGGTCCAAACATAAAAAAACAAAACACTGACAGAACAGCAATGTAAGTTTGATAAATTATGCTAATCCTAGAGTAAATTCTAAGGACATCAAAACAAAAACGTAGAAACATTTACTCCTGCGAGATGCACCAAAAAACAGGAAAACTGTACACTGCCATAGTCTTGCGCACCTTATTCTTGCAAAGAAAAAAATAATCGATGAGTGATTCTTCTAACTTAGAACTATAAACAACCTGTTCTAGATAAAAGTGGCTACGTGGATAGGTAAAAAATAACAAACAGATAACTAAACTAACTATTTCACCAAAAAGAGTAAGATAACAAATAGTCAAATTGGTATTGAATTTAGGGAAAGCGAAAGAAACAGAAAGGCAGAGAAAGAATGTGGAGAAACAAGGAAGAAGAACAAAATGGAGAGGACAGTGAGAAAGAGAGGAGAAACAAGGATCAGAGAATCTTTGCACTGCACTTGATTATCATTTCAATCTATCTACATGCAGGTGTGAGAATACAACCACCTACGATATTTATATGCAGCTAACAGACAGCTATAAACTAACAGTAGCTGACTAACCAATTAACATCCTCTTATTTATATTTAGATATCACAACTTCTGGCACAACTCTGATATTTAAGTGAGACTGCACTTAAATAAAGGACACAGGATTATAATAGGAACTTGGGTATTATGGGGTGCCTATGTCCCACGTCAAGTAGTATGGGATACTCATGGAATATTTAAATGTTAGGTTCTCCCTTATATAGCTAGTTTTTTTAGAGTGGATCCTCCAAGGGCTTGGTACTTATCATAATACTGGCCAAAGCTATGTGGACATCCATATTGAATATCCTCTTTCCTTGGAAACAAAAATATTATTGGGCAGAACCTTGCTAAAACCAAGCTTCAAAATAGTGAGCAGGCTTAGATGTAACTATGTGCTATCAAGCAATGGAGGAATAAGAATGAAGGGTGTGAAATTGCAATTCTGTTGAAATAAATTATGATGTTTAAAACACCATACCAGCTGCAAGAATTTTTCACCAGCTGCCCTAAATTTTTGAGAGATTACTCCAGGAACAAAGGACAGTTCATATTCATAACCTCGAACACTTTCACGGGAAACGGAAGCTGCTAATTCCTGAACAGTGAGAGGCAGTTTTTCAGGCATATATTACTAAACATACGAAAGGAAAATTAGCCAAATAATTGTTCCATTCCAAGTAATTAAATATCAAATACAAGTCAATCGAGTGAAACCTTGCCTCAGTAATTTTTGGTATGGCAGTTTGTCCAATAAAGGCAGAAAGTTGGGCCAACACTAGAACAAGGCTAGGAAAGGCTTTGTCACCTTGAGCTCCCTCCGTCAAACCATGAATTTGAGTAGCTGAAGAATTGTTTCTTCTTAAAAACGATAGGAACTGAACCTCGAGGTCCCTAAAAAAGTCTTGATATCCTTGTTGAACCCAATCAATTATTAACTCTCTAAGTTTATCTATAATCTCTAGGTTGTCATCTAGAATCTTGTGCATATCCTGAAATAATCGAGAGAGAAAGATTAAACCTAAATGAAACAACTCAAAGCATAAACAATATGAATGTTTTAACGATTATATTTTTATGCATATAGATGCATAAACATGATCTGGTATCTACGTGCCTAGGTACACCAATATGTTTACCAGCAAAACTTTCCTGCCTCCGTCGGAAACTGCTTTTATGCTAGCATCTAGGGCAACTTCCAGAGAGTAATCCTCTGCTCCACCCCGCTTCAGCACTTTTAAGAGGTGATCTACCAAACAGAAGCTAACTCATAGCATGACTATTAAACAAACTGTCTGTTAACTATTTTTGTGGCTAGCTCAAATCAGGGAATACATACATGTTAAACATCAAGCTATGTAAGATTAGAATCCTTGACAATATAACATTGTCCATTTTGTGCTTATGATCATTTACACGAATAGTTTAAGGATTTTATGTCTCCTTTCTCCCGGAGTGTGAAAATGTAAACATTTCAAATTTTATGCTTGAAGTAAAAAATAGAAGCTTTCTATGAACTAACCTGAGATATCATGCGTTAGATGAGAAAATGCACTTATAATATACAGCTTGACAGCATCCTTGGTACCCTGGAAATATTTAGTTTTTATTGATGAAAATTCTTTTTTGAACTGGAACTTTCATCGGATTGTATTGTGAAGAGAAAAAGAAAATGATGACTTGAAAAGCAACATCTATTAGTCAAAATCAAAGTGGAGCTGATAACTTTGATAGATGACCTCAAGAGAATGATCAGATAGAGATGCTTCCTCTAAGACTTCATCCATTCGGAGAACATCATTCCAGATAACTCCTGTGCCCAATTACACATTTCAAGACAGCAAAATCAGATTCAAAATGTTTATATTAATATTTAAATTTGAAAATATTTCTTGTGAACACAATATAGTAATTTAAAAGTATGATACTATAGAAAATATCTCTTTTAATTAATTTGATATAGCACAATGTCTATACAGTCGTATACAAAAAAGACAAATCATTAGGTATGCACTGCATTGCACTAAATAACTACAGGGTAAACAAAATAAAAGCAAGTATACAATCATCACCTAGAATAGAAAAAACTCATTGCATAAATTCTTGAAAAAAAGATCATTACGCTATATCATGCCTACAAGAGTCATAATAAGTTTGTTTAATGGTTGTCAAAAACTAAAATAAATTGAAAAATGAAAAACATAGTCACACTACTTACGAAGAACACCAAGTAGATCTTCCGAAGAAATCCGTGTATGTACATACCCTTCTATCATTAAAAAGTGCCTGAATAAACATTAAAAATATGCATATAATGAAAATATGATGTACTGTATTAAATTTAACAGTGCTTGCATTGTAACATAAAGGTACTAACTTGGTGATTAGATCTTGAGCAAGTTTAGCTAATTGCTTTTCTGAATCTGGAAATATCACTCGAAATGCACGAATGGCCTCCACAAACTCGTGAATTGCTTCCTATGTTAAGAAATAGGGGCAGAAACATACGCTCAATCCATCAGTCTGCTAACCAAACTACCAAAGAAGATATATCATTTACTAAAAATTAAAAGTAAAATAATAGCATGAAGCAACATTCCTTCACCGAAGAATTGTTTTTTAACAGACACATTACAATGACCAAACCTTTGTCTCACTTAATTGCGGGATGGATAACTCTATGAATTTGTAGTTGGAAGTAAAACTCATCTTATAATAAAAAAAATACTCCACACTCCCTCTCAAAGTACCCCACTTCAAAAATTTTATCTGTTTTAATTAGAAAACCAAAAAGTTAATTACTTTTTTGAAGTTTATCGGTGTCTTTTGATATCTCAATTAAGTGGAATAAGAAAGCAGTAATGATGTTACTATTAGAGGGTAATATATTTCAATGAATTTGTTTCTGTCTCGCAATTGAGAATATTTACTGACATTCTTAACCATGTGCAAAGACTAAATTTACAAAAGAATTTTTTTCAAAGCATGGAAGTAAAATTAACTATAGCCTAATTCCGTAATAAATATTTTGACAGCATCAATCGTGGTACTTATCATTTTTAGCTACTGATATCTTTCTCTGCACATGAGTCTGATATATTCCCTAATAATGTGACGAATTATATATTCTACAAGAATTTATTTCCTATCTCATATCAATCCTACCCTGTGTCATTCACCAAGCCATCTGTATCTTACCATAGATGCTGTTCTAAGACATATGATTTTAATGTTGTTTGTCAGTTGTCAACTATGGGACGGGTGACCTAGACTAGAATCATTTAATACTCTGGACTACTTACCTCGTGAGTAGAGGGAGAATCATTCTTCATTACTGCAGGGATAAACTGGACGTCTGTAAGCGAAAGCTCCAACTTCTCAAGTAGCTTTGTCTTCAAATAGTCCACCTGTAAATAGAAAATCTATCATTCTATGTCCTTAACTAATAACACAAAGGATAACACTAACTGTGTTATCTCTCTCCGGGGAATGGAACAGAATGAGAGAAATCGATATATGTCTCTTACAAAATGCAAGAAAAAAGTGGTTTTTAAAAAAGAATATCATTTTCCCTATTTATTGTACATATTGAAAAATAATTAATGTTTTTAGAGGCCATCTGATCTCAAACCCTCGACACATAGTACAAAATGCTGTTTTAACGAAAAGAGAATCAATGCAGACCGGAAAATTCAACTGCTTCAAGAGAACTGCAGCCTCGGCTCTCGTTTGCATTGATTCAGAATCTGAACATACTTTTCCCTGGTGAGAGAAAAAAAATGTCAAATTATGAAGAAAAGCTTCTCAAATCATGATAATCATCAATCGTTTATTGTATTGCATACTATTAAAGACTTGGGATTCACTGCAGTCCTTAAACTCTTAGATCATGTTTGGAAGATTGGTTTAAATCATGTTATTATTTATTCTAAAACTAATTCTATCTAGGAATGACCTTGTATGATGCTGAAAGGCACAAAAATGTAAAAGAACTATACCTGCAAATTTTTTACTATGATAGCAATTGCTTCTTCAGATGCTCGCTTACAATCTTGGAATGATGAATCTCCATATGCCTAGTGAAGAGGGTAAAAGGAAAAGAAAGATATCTCATCTGCTGCCTAAATTTTTTACTTCATAGGAAAAAAATGTGTCCGAGTGTGAGGTAAATGTATATCAGTAGAAGCAGCCAAAGGGATTGAATCATTAATAATGTTTAGCCAAACACGACCTTAAAAATTGGCATTGCACCGGTGTAGAACCTGACTGCATCTGCATAGGCCTCAGACTTGATGCACTTGCCTAGTCTATCAGGTAGATCATATATGAACTGCCCATCCACAAATATGGAAATGGTGTAAAACATAAAACCTTCGCGAGTAAGAAAAAAAATATATGAACTCCAGAAAAAACTTTGTGAGGCAGAACAATGATGTGCAACCAGACAACAAGTGCCATCGCTTTGATACCTGAACTTTACGAAGAAGATTGCATGTCCGATGCATTTTTTCTATATGCTCCCTATTTTCGCATAGAGAAGTGTTAACACTGTCACTCCTTGACTGTACTGACATTATCTGCACCGGGGAAAAACGTGGGTTCCTCATGAACTCTTACACTTTTTTTTTTCTTCTCCATAAGAAAGTTCCAGGACTAAAATGTGAAAACAATAAATCTCAAAACGGATTAAGGATCTGTTTGAATATAAGTTAGAACTGAATTAAAAAAGTTATCTACTAAAAGTACAAAAGAAACTCTTAATAACTCTTCTAATTTTTATTCGATCAATCTCTTTCGAATTTAATATATACTTACCTTCTCAAGAAGCTGTTCCATATTTTCCTCCATCCCCAAAATATTACTCTTCATCCTGTTTGACAAACAAATTACCTTCACCTTCATTCTCGAAATCAAAAACACACATATAGCAAGATGAACGTGGGAAAATAGAAAATTTTTTCACAATATAGTGTAATGATGGAAATTGAATGTGACGTAGCAAAATCTAACAGGAAAGTAAAATCATAATGACACACCATAATAACGTATAAAAAGACTATACCTCTTTATAGTATCTGTAGCGCAGATAAACTTATTATAATTCTCGTAGACGAGCATTTGCAAGTCAGTGTCTAGATTCTTTATTTCAGCTACCATTTCAACGTGCTTCTGAAGTAGACCTTCCAAATTCGACTTTCGCGCCTTTAAAGTGATACAAATGACAATGGCATTCATCAGCGTAAACCACAACATTATTAATGGCATTCAATCTTGAAAAATCGAAAAGAATAATTATGTACCAGGATTTTCATGTACTGATCAGGTTGGAAGGAAGAGGAATTGATGTCATCGGGTGAGATGTGTTTGGAAAAAGGGTTATTGGAGGATTCTGAAGGGATTGGAGAGTAGAAACTGGCTAGCAGATCTCTCGTTCTCCTTGCTTTTTCGTCCAACGGTGTCTCCTCGTCGGTGTCCATGGTTTGTTTCTCTGCCTTATGATTGTTGTTGAATTGAGAGTGAGACAATGAATGCTTCTCCTTCAATATTTCAAAATTAATTAGGGAATGATGAATAAAACGTTGTCGTCTTTATCGATGGGAATAGCTGTTCCTTGCATATACTTAGCATCTGATACATGTTATAGAGACTTTTTCTGCTATGAAATGAAACACGAAGAACGATGCAGTCACATTATTCACTATGTTCTCTCAACATCCAGAATTTGAGATGCATATATGCTATTGAAATCTTTTTTTTTTGTTTCCTTTATTTTTTGTATATGAGCATGGTAAAAATATGTTTCAAAATTAGAGGATTAAAAAATTTTCTGCAGCTAAATATAATTCCTAATATGTATTGCAGCAATTTGTCTATCCGTCTTCATTTATTTATACTTGATTAAAAGCTACAGAGAGAAAAATCAGCATGGTTCTAAAAAGATATTACTTTTATTTACATGAATATCTAATAAAAGTTGAACAACTAAGATTTGTAGTTAAAATAATAATAATAATAATAATAATAATAATAATAATAATAATAATAATAATAATAAAAACTGGTATTACATATTTAGGGAAATTACATGTGGCACTCTTGATGGAAGAACTAAGACGAGCTATGGTGTATAGTTTTAGAATTAAAAATATGGAGAGATAAATGGAAGTTAAGATGAGAAACTTCTAAAATATAAAAATATTGTTTAACAATTCAAATTATTAAATAATCCAAAATAATATTATATATAATAAAGATTTAAAAAGAAGAAGTGATGGAGAACCATCTGGGTTATAACAGATTGGTCTCTCAACACACTAGACTTTAAATAAGGCTCAAACTTAAAGAGGGTGCTCAAACTTAAAGAGAGTGCATGTAAGATTCAAGTCTTGATTACAAAAAAAAAAATCTTGACAGCAACAAAAAAAAGAATACATCATTTTAGCTTCTTAAATTCAGCTAAAGCACTTCAAATACTCAAGGAGGTCCAAGATTTAACTCTTGGTTGCAACATTTTGAGAGTTTTTTGGTATATAAACTCATAAATGTAATTAAAAGTGGTCTAGGTGGAACTTGAAGTTAGGAATTTCGGTCATCACTTGTATAAAACAAAATTATTCTTACATTCCTTAGGTGAGTGAGTGAATGAGAGGGTAATAACTATATATATGACCCCTTGTGTAACTTTTTGAATTACATTGGAATGAAGTCAAAACTTGTGTATGAAACTTGCATATTTTACTTATAACCTAAATTGAATTTTCAAGTGTTTTTGGAGATTTTTTTTTCTTATTCTTCTAACAAGGAACTTTCCTTGGAGGAGTTAGTGTCAAGTTTCTTTAGAAACTTGGGAAAAAATTTTGGTTTACCTTGGGTGCTCAAGGTGTGAGGCTTTCGGCTTCATCCATGGTGGAAGAAGTAGATTATTTCATCAATTTGGTTTCATGATCTAAGCATGGAGGTCTTCAAGAGATAAGTACCTTCATCTTTCCTTCTTCTTTTCCTTGATTTTCTATCTTGTATGTCATTGTTTGAGTCTTTTAATTGAGTTATATGTAGTCGGTCATAGAGTTTTTAATTATTTTCTTGTAATTAATTCATTGCTTAGTTCTTTTCTTGAATCAATTGTATGTTTAAGAATTTCTTAATATGTTATATGAGCAGTCATACAATTTTCTTACTTAGCTTTCAATTTTATAATCTTTCATGATGTATTAGATGTTATGTTTAGTCCTTATATGTCATCATTTCATAGATGTTGTCCCACATATGTCAGAAAATAGAAGTAATTGTTGAGAATAATAATAAAACTAAGTTTGTATGCTAGAACCGAATCAATGATTTGTTTGTATGACTTGTGTTTTTGAGTATTCTTTTGCTATTAATCATTAACAAAGTTCTAAATCATAAAATCCTTGTACAATTTATGTTAGTTTAAGTTTTCTTTAAAGTTTTGAAAGTTGAATCAAGTGTTGATTAATATGTCATGCGTGATATGTTCAGACTTGTGTGAATTAAAATTTTGAGTTTAAATTTGATTTGAAAAAGACTTAAGTCTCATAAGAACAATTGAAATTGTGAAATTGAAAATACAAAGAACTTGAATTGGAAAAGTCGAGACTAAGAGAAAATAAAGTTGAAAATATGTTTGCAATTCTTACATAAAAATCTCACACTCCTTAAAAACAAAAGTAGAATTGAAATGTGTATGTATTAAAAGAGGCTAAGGGAGTGTATAATTTGGTCAAGCTTAAATTGGGCTTATAAGTGATTCAACTTGAGTCTTTTATTTTTGTAATTCATTCTTAGGCTTCTTTTGAGTGCTTTCTTTTAAAATTTGTCAAATTTTTTTACTTGTCTTTTTTGAATTTTATAAGTTTGTCAAATAATAATTCTAATCACTTGATTGTGTCCAATTCTTATTTGACATTTTTTTGTATTTTTTATTCTTGCATCTTGAGCACTTAAAGAAACATGATAATCATTTTACTTTTCCTTGTTTCTTGGAAACTCACTTCTTCTTAGGTGTTATTAAGAAGAAAGGAGAAAGTGTTCTTCAAGAAAGCTTGGGAAGCAAGAATTGGGGTGCAAGAAGAGTAAAACACTTGACCAAGTGAAGAATCCTAAAGTAATGACGAAAAAATTCATCAATTTTCGTCACAAAACAAGCGTTGCAACAAAATTTTCGTCACAAAAAACGTTGCTATGTTGCTAAAAATTTTTTTGTAATTTTTTCACAAATTTTGTTGTTTTTATATTTCTTGTTGTAAATTTTACTTTTGTGGGTATCTTGGGAAAATTTCTTTAGTACAATCACATCTCTCATCTTAAACATTATAATAGTACTCTTGGGAAAATTTCTTTAGTACAATCACATCTCTCATCTTAAACATTGTAATAGTACACGTTTTAGTATTGTGAAAGTACCCCAAGAGGTTCATTAAGTGTTACTTGGATTTTCACCTTAGAGTTCGTCTAGTTTACTTTATATTAAACTTTTGCAATTAAAATTTAATTTTTTGTAGAAAAATCTAAGTGAGTCTTTAAACGACTAGTTGACCTTCCTTTGGTCTTAAGGGTTCGTCACACACACACTTGAAAAACTTTTTTTATGAAAAGATTTGTCACTTCATTTTTGTGAAAAATAATTTTTCAAATTATTGTGAAAATCTTTTTTAAACAAAAATGAGTGACCATTCTCATGCACCTTCAAGTCATTCTAGTGTGGGTGGGAGTTACCGTAGATCTAGGGAAAACTCTTTCATTAAGGACAAACTTAGAATTTTAGAAGAGAAAATTGAAAAAAGAGATAAGAAAATAAGGGCTATGTTTGCCCTACTTTTAAATGATAAAAACAAAAATAGAAATAGAAGTGAGGATTCTAGGAGAATATAAGAACACTATGAGGAACCTCACTCACATGTGGAGGATTATAATAGTCATCATAATGATGATTACTATCAACCCTCACCACCTAGGAGACATAGGACTAGGGTGGATCATCCCTGAGAACTTAATGTAGACCTTCCTCTCTTTCATGGAGAAGATAATGTAGAAGAATATCTTGACTGGGAAATAAAGGTAGAACAATTATTTGATTTCCACAAAGTCACATGCCCTCTTATTATGATAGGAACTTGATGGATGAGCAGCTTCAATGACTCCAACAAAAAAATATGACCATAGAGGAATATAGGCAAAAAATGGAGTCATTAATGATGAGGGTTGGGATAAGGAAAGAACCACGAATTACAGTTGTTAGGTTGCAGAGTGGTCTTAACCTAGAGATTAGGAATAAAGTTGAGTTATTGTCTTATAATGACTTAAACGTACTAGTTCAACTTTGTGTAAAGGTAGAACAACAATTGAAAAGAAAATATTCTCATAAGAGAGACTACCTTAACACGTCTATTCCTAAGGAAGATTTTAAGAGGGAGAGTTACACCTCCACATTTAGGGATGAAGGGCCATAAAGGGATAAAGAAAAGAAAAAGAAATATATAAAAATAAAGAACCTTTCAAAGGGGTTAGAACTAGAGACATCTAATGCTTTCGATGTCTTGGAAGAGAGCATTATGCTTCTGACTGTCCCAATAAAAAAAATTGTTTTTAAAAGATCAAGAGATCGTAAGTGAGAATGAAACTCAATCTTCATCAAGTGAAGAGAAAGTTTTAAACTTTGAGGAAGAAATCTCCCTTGTGAAGGAGAATTAGTTGTAGTGAGAAGGCTTATCAGAAGCCACCCTCATGAGCTGAAACAATCCCAATGGAAAAACCTATTCTCACAAAATGTGAAGTTTTGAAAATCATTTTTCTTTAATTGTGGATAGTGATTCTTGTTGTAATTGTTGTAGTTTTAGGTTGGTGGAAAAACTAGTCTTAATTACCACACCCCATCTAAAACCTTACAAACTTCAATGACTCAATGAAGATGATAATATAGTAATTAATAAACAAGTAGATATATCAATATATATAGGAACTTACAAAGAAAATATTTTGTGCGATATGGTTCCTATGGATATTGGGCATATCCTACTTGGTAGGTCATGAAAATATGATAAACAAACTATCCATGATGACCACACCAACAAGATAAATTTCCTTTATAACGACAAAAAAAATAATTTTGTGTTCTCTCACACCTCAACAAATGAGGGAGGATCAAATAAAAATCAAAAATAAAATTGTAAGAGAGAAAAAAAAGTCAAACAAAAACATAATTTTTTAAATAAAAAATTGAATTGAGAAAGAATAGGGTTTGGGGGTTTTGTGTCCCAAAAGAGTTGTTCAACAAAAAATAAATTTCTCCTTTAAAGTTTGAACAACATTTTTTCCTTCTCTTATAAAAAGGACGCTTGCTGCCATAAGTCGCAGACTTAATTTTCTATCACATGAGGGTATAACATAATTTTGAGAATAATGATCTATTTCCCAAAAAAGTACCTTATGAACTTCCACTTTTAGGGAATAGAACCCTTGAGATAGAAAATCGAGTAAGTGACTTGTTAAAGAAGGGTTGTGATCAAGGAAAGTCTCAATCAGTGTATTATACCTAGATTAGATATCTCACTTTTAAATAAATTATTTTCTTTTCCAGGTTTGATGGAGAACCATTTGGGCTATAACACATTGGGTCTCTAACACACTAGGTTTCAAATAAGACTCAAACTTAAAGGGATTGCACTTAATGTTAAAGTCTTGGCTGCAACATTTGAGAATTTTTTGGTATATAAACTCATAATGTAATTAAAAGTGATCTAGGTGTGACTTGAAGTTAGAAACTTCGGCCATCACTTATATAAGGTAAAATTAGGTTCATATTCCTTAGGTGAGTGAGTGAATGAGAGATTAAAAATTATATATATGATCCCCTCTATAGCTTTTTGAATCACATTGGAATAAATTTAAAACTTATGTGTGGAACTTGCATATTTTGTTTGTACTCCGAATTGACTTTTTAAGTGTCTTTGAATATTTCTTTCTCCTATTCTTCTAACAAGGAATTTTTCTTGGAAGAGTTAGTGTCAAGTTTCTTTAGAAACTTAGGAGAAAATTTTGGTTCATCTTGGATGATCAAGGTGTGAGGCTTTCAACATCATCTATGGTGGAAGGAGGGAAATTATTTCTATCAAGAATAATTTAAAAAAAAACTAATATAATAATTATAATATATAATAGAGAAAATAAATAATTAAAAATAAAAATTTATCCACGAAGGGTGCAGTTGCTAGATGAGCATTTCCGTGTTTAAGAAGAAAAAAAAGGTAAAATTATGTGTTTAATTTTTATAAATAAAAAAATTAAAATATAAATAGGTAAAATGGAAAAAATAAAGAAAAAATATTTATTTATTTTAAAATTAGAATTATTTTATTTACATTCTTGTAATTTATTTTATTAAAATATGATGAATTATTATTTTTAACAACTATATTTTAAAATATAATATAGAGAAAAGACAAGTCTTTCGCTCTTATATTATATGTTAAATAAAAAATAATTTAAAATCAAATTTATGTATTAGATAATACATATTAATAGTTTCATTATAATATTTTTGCTTCTATAAAAATATTAGATTACTATGAATTTTATTTAACCTATATTTTAATAAAATATTATTTTAAAACATAAAATTAAAAAATCTCTAAATTAATTAAAAAAATTTATCAATAAAATATGATTGATTATAAAATTAGAAAACCACTTGACCTAAACATTAATAAAATATTTTTGAAACTTAAAATTAATTATTTTATTTCTATCAAATGAGTTGCATAGCTGTTATCCATAAATAATTATGATTAATGTTTTTATATTTAATGTATACTCATGTATGTTATTAAAAATATAATGTTTAAGAATAATCCTTTTTTTAAATGTAAATTTTTTGAAGATTTTTTATTTTTATTTATTTATTATTTGTAAAGTTTAATATCATACTACTATTTTTTATGTGTTTTTCTTTTTTAAATAATTTACACATGTATTTATTGTATCACAGGGAGGGAAAGTAAAAATAATAATAAACTGTATAAATATTTTATAAAAAAATAAAATTTATTGTATGTCTTAATTTTTGGAAAACAACCTTAAAAGAAACATGGATTAAATAAATATCCACTCTGTTATATTGAGGTGGTCTCCAAATTAAATATCAAATTAATTGTTATTTTATTATCATTATTTACATATTTTAATTTATAAAAATAATTAATAGTGATTGAAAAGTTAAATAAATAAGGTTAATTAATATGTAATAAGTTAGTCAAATGACAAAATTAATATGATTCTGATATTACTTTATTAATTTAAACATTATTATTATTTAAAATATATATATATATATATATTTGTATGATGAATATATCTTATAATATATATATATATATATATATATATATATATATATATATATTATTGAAATATTAATTTAAATGTGTTAGTTTAAAAACTATATTGTATTAAAAAAATAAATCACTTTTTTTATAACTATATAAATATTCAGTTATATTCTTTATTTATTGTTTTTTAAATGAATATTTTTTATATTAATCTTTTTTAAACGAATAAATATACTCTCTTTGTTCATATTTTATTTTCTAATCACTCAACGCACCTAAAGCACATATGATTAAATAAATATCCACTGTTTATTTTCTTCATTGTCTAACTTTTGGCATTTATACTTAGGTGGTTTAAAAATTCAATATCAGATCATTATTAATTATTATCTTATTAATATATATATATATATATATATATATATATATATATATATTGTAATGAGAAAATGAAAAGATAAAATAGGAAACTACATAAATATTTTACTAAAATTAAGAAAAATTATAGCATTTATTGTTCTTCTAAAGTAACTTTAAAAACATATAATAGTAACTGAAAGATTAATTAGATAAGGTAATTAATTTGCAATAAGTAAATCAGTTTTTATAATTACTTCTCTCTTTTTTTATTCATAAAATAATGTAAAATAATAAATAATTAAGAGAGAAAAAATAAACTAACAGAATAAAAAGTATTAATTACTTTTTTTCTCTCACAAAAAAAATATAAAGAAATATAATTTTTATTCTTTTATATTTTTCATTTTCTTTTTGACTGTTTTTTTATATTATATTTATAATTATTTCTTTTTACTATTTTCTTTATATACTCTATAAATTTGAAAGAAAGAAAAATTGACAACATTTTAATTTATATATCTTTCTATAAGATAGTGTGCTTTTGATATTATTTTAATAAAAAAATATGATATACTTTAAGGTAATATTCAATTTTATTTTATTTTTCATTAAAAAGTGTAAATAGTTCCTTTTATTTGTTTTTTAAAAATAATTATTTTGTAAATGTTTCCTATTTAAATTTCTTTATTATTATTATGTTTTCTTTTTAATATATAATTATGAGTAGGAGAAAATTATAGGAGAGAAAAAAATTAATAAAATAATAATAATAATAATAATAATTAAGAGAAAAAAGTAAATAAACTAATAAATAATTAATGCTCACTAGAGAACACAAATCAGTCAAACCATAAATAAATACTATTACAATCCATTAACTCATTATAAAATTATATTAAATGAAATTAGAGTATGTGAAGAGTGGATATTAAATTATTAAAATTAAATGTTAGGAAAATAACATTGAACATCTAAAAGGTATAAATATAATAAGTATTGTTTTTAATTAATTTTGAGTTTAAGTTTGAAAATATGTAATATATTTAATGAAATATAAATATAATTTTTTTAATAACTTCTTTCTCCTCTTACACTCTGTCCTGTATATAACAAGTATGTGTTAAGAGTAATAAGTGTGGAGCAATAGTATTTGTTATTTTTTTTTTCATTCTCATTCAGTTATCTTTCAGAAAAAAAAAAAAAAATTCTCTTCTCAACAATGGCTCCCATTGAACCTTCGATGAAATGTGTGTGCGAAGACGGAGAACCACAGATGGAGGAGAATAAGAGGAAGAAGAGGGAACAGAACCGTGAACATGCAAGACAATCGCGGATGAAGAAGCGGAAGCGGGCGGAGGAGTTGATCAAGGAAGTGAGGACCTTGCAAAGTGAAAACAAGAAGTTGGTAGAGAGCATCAAGGCAAAGGAGAAAGCTTGTGCTGAGATCGCAGGTGCTAACAACATTTTGAGAGCACAATCTGCGGAATTGGTTGATCGACTGAACTTTCTGAACTCTACCATTTGACATTGATGTGATGAACAGCTTCTCTTAGATTCTAAATTTTAAGCATAGCAAATTCTACTTCCAAGTCCCCATGAAACCTTTTAAGTATATATATATATATATATATATATATATATATATATATATATATATATATATATATAATGATATAAATTGTTTTTTAGAATTTAAGGAATTAATATTTATCATTAAATATTATTAGTTTTTTAAATATAAACACACATTTTTATTATGAAATATTGACACATACGTCTATTGAGAGAAATTCGTATATAAGGTTAAAATAAATAGAAACCATTATATCTTTCTCACACATGAATAACATAATATAGAAGTCAACCAACTTGTCCTGACTTAGGGGCTTTTGGGATTGCAGTTTGTCCAATAAACTGAACCTCAACTTCCCTAAACAAGTCTTTATATTACTTGTAATTTAAGAGGGATTCACCAAACAGAAGCTACTCAACAGCATGATTATTAAAACAAGGACAAATGTCTCATAACTATCTTTAGAATGACACGTTTGACCGATAAAAGCACACAGCCGTGCCATCACAAAAACAATGGTAAGAAAGGCCTAAACCCTGAACTTTTGCAAAGTTGTGATCTTGAGATAATGAGATTCCTCCATCAAATACCATAAATTCCAGTTGCTGAAGAATTGTTTCTTCCTAAAATGAATAGGAGCTGAACCTAAAGTTGCCTGAAGAAGTGTTGAAAAGCTTCATGAACCCAACTCAAGTATAACCCCTCTTGGTTTATCAACTCAAACCATAAATAACATGAATATTTTTACAGTGCTTTATAAATGCATAAAATATAACTTCATATCTATGAGTCTAGATATATACATATTGTCATTTTTAATGCTTTTACCCGCACAAAAATCCTCGCTTGGGAATTAGGGCAACTTCCGGATAATACTCCTATCCCTTTTCTGTACTTTTAAAACTCATCATGGCTATCAAAACAACTGTCTATTATTTTTTATTTTTTTTGCTCACTCAAATTTGCATAAAACTAACTTTATGAGACTAAAATCCTTGACAATGTAATATTTTTTTTCCCGTGCTTTTGATCAGTTTCACAAAAAAACATAAAGTGACAAGGTAAATATTTCAAACTTTTATGATATCAAATAGTTCTAGAAAGTTATAGAGCTAATCTGAGATGACTTGCATTAGATGAGACAGTTCAAATACACAGCGTGAGTTTAAATTACTTTACTGTTCTTTTCATGTTTAGTTTTTTCGAGAAATTAAGTAATAATATATATATATATATATATATATATATTAATTTTAATGCAATATTTATGAGATTTTATTTTTATCTTGATCACAATTATATGTATTTATGTAAACTAATAATAATACAGAAAAGGGAACGTAGTAAGTAACATTTATTTTTAGAAAGTGTACATTTATATTATATTAGTGATTTAAAAGCAAGATATATTATATATAGAAGATGTTGCTTTTAATTAATTTGATGATATAGCAGAATGTCTATTACTTTACTATAAGGAATGTAGTTATTAAACAAATAGCATTGCGTACATAACTCCAGTAAATAGAGATACTAATACATTATTTAAGACATATGATTAGGTTCGCACAGCGTAGACCAATAATTTGTATATATATATATATATATATATATATATATATATATATATATATATATATATATATATATATATATATATATGTTAGATATAATCTTTTGAGCTTATCTCACTTATCATAATATTATTAGTAAGATTAATTCTTATATTTAAAATATTAATTTATTTTAATGTCTGAAGTCTTTGTTCGGTATCCTTAAAAATCATCTCGGTAGACTAAAAAGGATTAAACATATAAACTAGTTTTAATTTTGATTTGATTAATCTTTTGAGGGAGAAATTTACTGGGAAAAGATAACACTAATAGATGTGAGTCAAAATCACACAAGAGATTGACACTATTCTCAACTCAAAACCCTAAAACATTGAATTATGGGTTTTTCTTCTTTATATGTTGTTCAACTTTCGCATTCTTACTCAACGTGAGACTTAGATTGACACTTATTTCCCAACAATCTCTCCTCAAGTGTGATTCATTTTCAAATTAGTATATCACCCCTTCTCAAGTGGAAGAATTTCTTAATCATGAATACCCAGTAGTGACCTTACTTGTACCGACGTTCAACTAAATGAGATTCGCTTGTCTGAAATTCTTGTCGAGAAGACTTTCGACTCAAATATCCATAGGATCTTTCACCTACTCTTAATCGTACTCAATCGAGCCAGTCACCATAAAAATTATCGACCAAGCCGGTCACCATAAAAATTATCGACTTTGATATCACTGTTAGGTATTTTTGAGAGAGACTAACAACATAGAGATTCTTACAAATGGGACACGAGTCAACTATATAATACCTTAAAGTTTTAGGTTAAGAGTAATGTCAATCTCTCATATGAGTTTAACTCACATCTCATTGGTGTTATCTCTCCCTAGTAAATTCCCCCCTCAAAAGACTCAACGTGATTTCTAAGTAAAATGAGACTTATGATCATACCAGAACATAATGTTGGGTACCAGAAAGGAAAAGAACACATGCACACAAAATTCAACCAGCGGAAACACACACCCACAATAAACAATTTTCACACAATATTTTAACGTGGTTCAGCACCTCAGGGCCTACATCCACAAACACACTCAATAATAGTTTATTACTCAGCGTGCAATTTTTAAACCGGAAAATTACAAACCCTCACATACAATTTTTGCCCAGAAAAAACTATAAACTCTCTCTGACACACAACAACTCAAGTCCCTAATACATCATTAGACTAGTGTTGTTGTGGTGAGTAAACTCAAAATTATTACTCCTTATTTATAGTAGTAGTCTATCACTCCCTTCTTCAAACTCCTTGATGTGGAACTTTGGAGGAGACTTACACACTGACACAACACATAGTCCCTAGTCAAGGACTAAAGGATAGGAGTAAACCAAGACTCTACACTTGGCCCTACAGTGGATGCTAATGTTTCATCTAGAAATGAGAATGTATCGACCTCATATCCACTATAATAACATCATTAGAATTAATTGTTATGTCTCAGGTATTCTTATATTCTGAAACACTCACGAATCTTATATTGTTTAAGAATTATGATCAATAATAATTTATATACAACTTACTCTTTTGGCTATCAAAATACCTTCTAAGAACAAAATTATTTTTTTCACCAATACCTCAAATATAAATTTAATCCTAATAATATTATCTTATCATTCCTAAACAGAACACAAACAAATTTTGTCAGTAAATTTAAAAAATAAAATTAGCAGAACTATAGCACTGAAGTTCATCCTAACGTCTAGTAAATCTACTACACAAATTCGTGTGCTACTGCAATAAATTTATAATAATACTTTGGATTGTAACATAAAAAAGATACTGACTTGGTAAGTATTGAACAAATTTATTAGTCAAAATGAAACAGCCTCCAAAATCTAATGAATGGCTGCTAATAAATAGGAGTAGAAAAACATGCTCAATTGCATTCAACCAAGAATAAGATATATCATATATGATTGATTTAAAAACATGACTATATGTATAACTGATTTAATAATATTAGTAATAAAGATAAAAATGGTAGATTAGTCAAAAACTTAATAAAATTATATTAATTAATTAAATTTTTACAGTTTTGTCATTTTGTCCAAAAATCATTGTTATAAGTAAAGGAAGAAGTAATATTCATAAATTATTAACATTATTGACAAGAGAGTAGATATAAGTTTCGATATATTTATCTTTCGCCTTATTCACCCATATTTTTTAATAAGATTATTTATATGAATATAAATGTTACTCCAACAAAATCTAATATATATATATATATATATATATATATATATATATATATATAATTAATTAACATTATTTTTAAAGTTACATCTAAAATGTTTGTGTGTATATCATATTTATATAGCACTCCATTATTAGCCATGTCAGTAATATGCTATTAATGAGAGACGTTTGAACTAGATAAAAAAAAAATCAAACGCCAAAACGTTAACTATGTTTGATAAAAGAAAAAAATTATAAAAAAAATTATGATTATTGTGCAAAATGTGGATTATCTTATAACGCCAGTCAAATTTGAAAATTCGTATAAGAAATTTATATTCAGATATTGACCATGAAATAAAAGTATAAAAACATAAAAATAATAAATGAAGAACCTTGACTTTTATTTTAAAGTTTAATTACAATTGTCAGATAAGAGTCACAAAATTAGAACATTTATCATAAACTTAAATACTAATAAATACGTTAAAAGAACTTATCAATAAAATAAACAAGAATATGATAAAGTCAACTTTATAATTAGTTTTTTTAATTATAATACTCACCATAATATGAAAGTGAGAAAAAATTCATTAAATGATAACAGGTGAGAGAAACGGACCTGTACCATTTGATTTAAATAAATAATTAAGATTAAAGTATATCGCTATGAAGATTGATATCATTTGTCTTCAAATTGTATCTTCTATTACGTCTTTATAAGAAATCATTGTTATTTTTTAAGTTAGGTTTAATTAACTTATTAAATAAGTGATGAGATAATTTTATTTTGAAATAACAAGGACATATATAGACTTTGGTTCACCAACTAAATGATTTTTTTAGTTTTTTTAATTAGTTATTAAATATTAATACATAAATAATTTTTAAAAGTCATTTTTGTCTTTTATATTTCTATATTTAAATAATTCTTATATATCATCATTAAAATACTATATTTTATTTTGTCATAACATAGAAAAGTTAAATTATATTTTAATAGTAACCTATAGAAGCTTATTTAATATGGAAAATAATTATGAAATATTAAATTATTTTTAAAAAATAATTTATTTAAATTTTAAAACTAAATTGAAACAAATTATACGCTTTACAGGATAAAATAAATCATTATACCATTTTTATCTTTATTAGATACACGTACAATACGATGCAGAGTATACGTGTATGTATGGAATAATAAACTGAATCGTTTTTTCTCCTAAAATTTAAGTTAGTTTTTTTTAATTTAAAAAAAATTCTATAATTTAGAAAAAATGTTTTAGTCTCTTTGACATCTTAAAATTAAATGAAGTCAAAATAACCTCTAAAAATAAAATAAACAATTGAAACAAATCATTATATATATAAATAAAAATTAATAACCATGTGAGCGGAAGTTGTGACGTTATTTAAGACGTAATAGTAAAATAAATATTTTTAAAATGAAAAAAAAAACATTAAGTTATAAATTTTGAAGTTGGAAGAAAAAAAACAAACTTGTCAGTAAAAACATATCTAAGGCAGTTAATTGATAATCACTAATGTTGTATTTTTGCAATTACTATTTTCTTTCATTTTACTGTATATATTAAATTGAAATCTCCTCTTCACAAAAGTGAAATGGGTTCTGTTGAAGCTTTGTCAAGTTCCGGATACAAAGGAGGAGATTCAGAAATGGAGGAGAAGAAGAAAAAGATGTTGAAGAACCGTGAATCAGCGAAGCGATCGCGAACTAGGAAGCAGGAGCAATTACTGAATGTCACTAATGAAGTCAACGATTTGCAAGGTGTAAACAAGAAGCTAGTAGAGTGCATAAAGGCAAAGGAAGAAGCATTCATTCAAACTGAAGCTGCTAACGATATCCTCAGGGCTCAGGCTAAGGAATTGACCGATCGATTGCGCTTCTTGAACTCTATTATTCAGGGTACTCAAGATGCCAAGGGATTATTTCTTTAGATTCTACATTAAGCCCTTATAGATTTTTTACCCAACAAAAACTGTCCTGGTTTCTACAAACAAAGTTTATGGTGCTATTTTTTTCTCCTTCGCTATTTGGGTAGACTTTAGTCATTTAATTAAAGTGTACAACATAACCTTGTTATCTCTATTTTAATCCGTAATTTTAATATTTTTAGTGTTGTTCTTAGAAAATTAAATGTCTTTATCCATATTATTAACAAATGTGAAATTTTCTATCTAAAATGACAATAAAATTTCTATTAAATATATATATATATATATATATATATATATATATATATATATATATGATAACAACATGTCCTAATATGATTTCTCGTAGTCGAATTTCAGAAGATACAATAAAAAGTTTATATATATATATATATATATATATATATATATATATATATATATATATATATATAGAGAGAGAGAGAGAGAGAGAGAGAGAGAGAGAGAGTGATTAAAAAATACTATTAATTATATGCATATTTTATATTTTTGTTTATTAATTAATAGATTTTATTAAATAAATTAAGAAATTCATAATTTTTTTTTTTAATATTTATAATTTAAATTATAATATTATAATATATTTATATATTTTAACAAAATATATAATATTTAAAACACATTTCATTGATCAGAATCTTTTGGAAACAAGTTTAAAGTCCTTAGGAGATTTTGAAAGTTTCGAAATTTAAAAGGTGAAGCAAAGTGTAAGGTAAGAAAAAATAGTTTTGAAGTCGTAGGCTAAAAAATTTGGATAGATAGGTGGATATGACTTGTTCTTATGTTTAAAATTCTAAAAATATTAGTCTTGTTTGAATTTGATTCAATGAGAATTTAGTTACAAATTTTAACAGGTTATGTGATTTGAAAAAAAAAAGAATGTAATGAAAATATTAATAAAGTATAGCCTAGTATGAGTGAGCCAAATTAAGTTGCAAATTAGTCTATGTGTTAAAAAAACATTCAATTATAAGATGTTAGATGGTTGTGTTGAGTTTTCAAGTACTTAGGAAAACATGTGAGCTTCTCCAATGTTTTATGTTTTACAGAAGTTCCATTAGACGATAGATATTTCATTGTCAAAGCAAAAGTGATATTTCATTGTCAAAGCAAAAGTGCAGTTAAGAGTAATGTTTTCATTTTTTAAATATTTTTACTCATGCAATGAGTTGTTACTTGAGTGACAAAATTTTTAAAGGAAAGAGAATTATCTTGTTTAAGCAATAAAGTGTCACTCGAGCATAGAACTCTAAGGTGAGAGAAAATTGTATGGGTCCATTTTTTTCAAGTGACGCACAAACAAAAATGTAAAGGAGAAAAATAAAAATTTTAAGAAAATTGTTGCTAATTTGGAAGTAGGTATATTCAAGTGGCATTTGAGATCTAATGGGTGTTGATGTAATTTAAATCATTATGTTTAATTAGACGTTATCATTGTGTTTCAATATATTTTGATAAATTTTGGAATAGATGCGATCATGATTATTAAATTTGTGAGTTAATTTGTTGATTAGTACGAGTTAATTAATCAAATAATTAGGTACGAGTTAACTCGTGAGTAGACTCAGTTTAAAGTAGACTCAAAATCAAATTTGATGAACTCGTTGAACTGTGAGTAAATGCAGGAATTAAAGATAAGTTTCAAAGGAAAAGAAAAACTTTGATCTTTTTCGACTCTTTTTATTTATTCTCACAAGTTTAGATCTCACAACTTTCCACTGTTCGTCGGTGCTTATTATCGTTGGTGGTTGTTGTCGCATACTATTGTCTTTGGTCGTGTGGTGTCACGCGATGCTCAATTGGGTCGCGCATGTTCATTTGGGTCCCGCATTGGTCCCGCATTGGTCACGCACTGGTTGCACGATGGGCACACGGTGGTCGCGTGATGTTTACCTGGGTCGCACGACGGTCACGCTTCTTGCAGTTGCTCACCGCTCTCTAGGTTAGATTGAGAGATTTAAAATTTTAGAATTTTCGAATTGATGGGATAAATTAGATTGAAAGATTTAGAATTTTAGAGTTTCGAATAGATAGAAAGATTTTAAATATTTAAGATTTTTTTTATTATTATTATACTATTGTACAAATTCAATTATTATTATTTTATTATTTTTATAATACAAAATTAATATTATTATATTTATTATTAAATTGATATTTTTTATATGAAGTAAATTCTTATTAGTTAAATTTACTGACTTTTTTTATTGATTTGTAGATTTTCAACTTTGATAATCTTAGGTGTGATAATTAAGATAAATAGAAATAAAAATAATTTATTATGTTTGATAATTAAGATATATAGAAATGAAAATGATTTATTACGTTGATGTGCTGTGAATTATATATGATATGATTATTTCAAATAAAGAAATATTATGTGTCTATATGGGATATATTAACTTTATGAACTCACAAAGAGTATACTATTAAGTGTTAAGAATCAAAGTTTGATGAAGTTTGAAAAAAATGTTATAAAAATTATCACTTAGGAGATTATACATGATAGGTATAAATCATTGAGTCTAACTCAACGTAGATGTCTTATAGAAATAGACTTTAATATTTGTGAAATGTGAATTTTCTCATGAGATTTTAATTTTAATATTTAATTATTAAGCATGGTTAAATTATCTTGAGTATAGATATAATGTTAAAAAGTATATGGTAATTGTTGTGAAATACTAATTAAATATATATAAATATATATATATATATATATATACATATATATATATATATATATATATATATATATATATATATATATATATATATATATATTAGATTTAGGATTTAGAATAATAATTGTGTTTTGATAAAAATAAATATATTCACGTAGTTAATCTTAACTGTGAGAGAAAGTAAAAAGACACGTATTTTTTTTATTCTTTAATTTGTATATATATGTAAAAATGAAAGATATTTAAAATAAATTCTTATATATGATATCAATATATTAGATATTTATGGTATCGTTAATTTCATGTTAATATAATTATTAATGGGGCGATACATTAATATTTATATCAATCACTCTCTTAATTTTATTGCACCGGTTAAAAAAAATATTTACATAAATTTGAACAACTTTTTACAATAATTATATATTTAAATATTTTTTTACTATCTTATATATTTATAAATTTTCGCACATGATTCTCATTCTAATTTCTTTTATATAAAACTTCTATTTATTTTTTAATTATTTTCATTCCTTAAATGATGAGTGGTTCACTAAATTATACTTTAATGATTTAGTAAGGCTTTTTTTATATATATATATATATATATATATATATATATATATATATATATATATATATATAAAAGGGATGAACTTTTCATTTGTTGACCACATTGAATATCATTTAAAAGGAACAAAATAATAATAATATATGGTATAGGTTTCAAATAATGTAAAACTATATATTATAAAATTTGTTTTTTTAGTAAAAGTTAAATTAATATTCAATATTTTAAAATTAAATATTTTGAATTTATAAAGATTAAAATCTTATATTATTATATTTTTAATCTTAATTAAACGGAATAACACATTAAAAATGTGTTTGCCAGTGATAAAATTTTAATATACACACTATTACACTTATACGTGTGAGAAAAAGACTTTTTCTTTATTTACACTGTGAATTTAAACGAATATTTTTCTATTAGTTAACTAATAAATAAAATAACTAAATATTAAAGAATAAAATGGAATAACATAACACGTATTATAATCAACCTTATTCTTAATATATTTATTTTAAAAATTATTTTTATTTACTCAAAATAAATTCGTTTGATATATATAATTATTTTTCTAATATTTTATTTATTTTTTTCTCTCTTTATTTATTTATTTATTTGTTTTTTCTCTATTCATGTATAGTGTTTTTTTTTTCTTTTTTCCTTTTTTTCCTCACTCCATTTTATTCTTCTAATTAAGAATATTATATTAAAAATTGATAAAATAATATTTTATTATTTTTGAAATATAAAATGTTTAAATTATTTAAAATATTATAATTTAAAATATTCTATTTTAAAAAATATTATATATAATATTAATATTATATTATAATTATTAAGAAAAAAATAAATATATATTTTAAAATAATATTTTAAGATTTATATATTTAATCATAACTATATTAAATTACTAAATAAAAAATATATTTAACCTATAAATATTTGATATATTTTTTAGTTAGATGAATAATTAATTTATTATGATAAAATAATTTAAAAATAATTATTTACATCATGATAAATTAAACTATTTACGGTCATACTAAATAAAATTATATATTGTTATCATAGTTTTAAATAAATAATTTATGTTTTAAAGTTTTAAGGTTGGTTTTAAAAAATTTACTTTCACTTGTTCTTATCAAATTTTAATATAATAATTTTAATTAAAATAATAAATAAGAAAAGAGAAAAAAATGTGAGATAAATAAATAAATAAAAAATCCTAGATAATCGAGAAGAGAGAGAAAAAATAATATATAAATAATATTTGGATCTATTTGATAAATATTTTATTTAAATATTTTTATTTTAACATATATTATTTATAAGATTGTTACAGGTATTATTTTTGTCAATCTTCTTCAAAAATATAAAATGTTTATGATTTGATAGATAATTAACCTTTAAAAAATTTATATAAATAAAGTTATTTTTGTTAAAAATGTAAATAATAATATTATTTATATATTTAATTTTTATTTATTATAAATTTGATTCAACTTAACTATGTATTTAGTTTGTCATATAAATAAATTTTGATTCTAATTTTTTTTGTTAACATTATTGTAAATGTTGAAATCTTTATGTTTAGTCTTTTGAAAAGCTATGATTTTTGGTTTCTGAAAATATTATTTCTCTTTTCAAAATTTGAAATTACTAATTTAAGTCCTTAATTATATAAAAATAAGCATTCATTCTTTTCCTAACACGAATTAAAATATTCTAACGTATTATAAAATATTTTGAATAAATACTTAACTAATGTAAGATATTAGCCACGTACTACTATTTATTATTTAAAATTCATTAAATGCGACTCGATGAAATTAATTAAAAAATAACAGGTAATTTTTTGTTACAGATTGTTACTACTGTCTAGTTCGTTCGCTCTATCCAGCGCAACAAACAGAAGAAGTAAAAGTTGCAGTGGAAAAAAGCTGTCGTCATTGCGTGCGCAAGCGATGACGCGGTCCTTTCAGGCCCTTCAAATCGGCCTTCATTGAAATTCTCCATTTTAATAATTAAACCTTGCCAACCCTTCGCTCTTTTTCTATAAAAGCTAACCTCTCCGTCAATTGTAACCTTCTTTACCATAACCCTTTTCACCCAACCTTTTTCTATCCCCCATTCTTCTCACCAGCAACATCTCCGTCTGTTTTCCCCATTTTTTCTTTTGTTCTTCTCTGGTTGCAGAAAATTAATTAGGTCCCTCAGAAACAGATCTGCTTCAGATCTAGGGTTGTATTGTTCCAAATCACGATTTGATTGGCCTTTTGCAAAGCACACCAATGTTTTCCGAATTTTTATAACACACGCTATGCGTCGAATTCGTATGCTGCACTCGTTCTCCGTCGTGTTCCTATACTGGTTCTATGTTTTCTCATGAACTGCCTCTCAATTAATTAGATCCATCTCCGTAGTTAATTGTTGTTTTACTATTCCAGTAATCAATTAGATCTGTAATTCCTATTTCCATTAGCTTTCATTTTTTTGTTTTATTTGGTTCTGTCATCAAATCGAATCTCCGTGTCGGAAATGACATCGATTCAACGTTCGGCGACGAGTTCTGGATCTGAAGGAGGAGATCAGCAAATCGACGAGAGGAAACGGAAGAGGATGCTTTCGAACCGCGAATCCGCGAGGCGATCGCGGATGAGGAAGCAGAAACAGCTGGAGGATTTGACCGATGAGGTTAGTAGATTGCAAGGCGCGAACAAGAAGCTTGTGGAGAACATAACGGCCAAGGAAGAAGCGTGCGTCGAAACCGAAGCCGCGAACAGCATTCTGAGAGCTCAGACCATGGAATTGACCGAACGATTGCGCTTCTTGAACTCTATCCTTGAAATCGCTGAAGAGGTCGGCGGATTATCCGTTGAGATTCCCGAAATTCCAGATCCTCTCCTCAAACCGTGGCAGATTCCTCATCCGACACAACCGATTATGGCAACCGCAAATATGTTTCTACGTTGATCCATTTGTTCCCTGTGATTTTAGTTTTATTAGTTTAATTAATTAGGGTTATTAGTGTGGTAACTTTGTCTGGTGTATTGTTATTAGTGTCTGTATTAGCACTATGTTATGTGTGTTGTGATGTGTCAAAATCGTGTGGTCCGCAATGCATTGGATTCCTGAGATGAACGTGAGGAACAGGGTGTTGATGCCTGGCAGTGCCAGTGTCCCTTGTCCCTTTGCGCGACTTGTAATCATTTTTATTGGTGGCTGTTTTATTTTAAAAAAGTAATCGTCGTTATCTACAGCATTAGCGGAAAGTCGCGCTTTTTACCTAATAAAATATTATTGTGTATGATGATGATAAGTATGGTTTCTTAAAAAAAGATAAATTTTGTAATTATGTAAAGATGATTTTAAATTAATTGCTGTTGTAAAATAATTGTTTTGACAACTGCTTAAAATCAAACCCAAAATTATAATTTTTTAAAAAGATTTCAGTATTTTATATTATATATTTCTAAATAATATGATAATAAGTTTAATTTTTTTATAAAAATCACCAAAATATCTTATATTTATTATATATAAAATTAAATTAATATAAATTTATAAATTTTAAACAAAATATTTAGTTATAAAGAAATTTATTTCATTAGTTTTTATAATCGCTGAATTAAAATTTAGATCATAAATAAATTTATTTATTTAGTTTTTATCATAAAAATATTAAGAGCATTTATTATATGACGAAGCTTTTCTCCAATTTTGCAAGTGTTGCTCCGATCAATAATATACTTACATTTTTTGTCACTCTTTAACGCTTACCCATTTGGATAATTGTCCGCCACAATTTCATGTCATCGCAAGTCATGGATTACGAGACAACTTATTCAAAATTCGATGTGACAGAGAATAACATGGATCAGATTTGACATGGGGTTTATCTTGATGGTGGTTATAGTACTTCATAAAGTTCTGTGCTTTTAATTTGTATGTACGTATATTAATTTATTTGATGAAAGTTTAAGAGGTAAAATAACTTGAAAAATACTTGAAATTTTGAACTCTCAACAATATCCGGTGGATCACCAAAATGGTGATTTGTGCACCACCAAAATTACCTGTTATAAGAAAGGTAAATATGCTTTCCAATCAACCTTGTACAGTATGTAAAAAGAACTTGAAATACTGCAAATCAATCATTTCAGTAAAAATTCTAAATTCTCTTTCATGTCCTCACTGACGTCTCTAGCAAGAACGGCTATGAATCCTCAATTTCACCTATCATCATCTTCAAAAAGGTCCATAGCAAGGACAATCACTGATATTCATGGCCTCAATTCCATTCCTTTGACATCATGTTTTGAACTTTATATGCATCTAAATCATCCAACCATGTTAGAAAAGCATTTTCAACATCAGGAACATGTTCACTGCATATGCTAACTCGATAAAGTATCTTTGTAGTATATTCATCATTAGTAAATAAAAAGGTTCTTGATGCCCAACTTGTTGGTTTTTGAAAAGAAAAAAAAAAAAAAAGGTGGCAAGTGGTTGGCAAGTAGTTGGATGGTAAGTGGTTGGAGACAAGAAAAATTGAAAAGTCTTAAATGCAGAAGAACCATTTCTTTTACTATAAAATGTTCTTTCACTTCACTCATTTCTATCATCCAATTCCAAAGCAACCATTACAAGAGTTAGCCAGCAAAAAGCAAAAAGAAAATAATCTAGCTTCTGGGTGTAATTGGGTTGAGGGTTGTGAGTGTTTTGAGAGTGCTTTGTAAACACTTGTGTATTTTCTTTTTTCCCAGTAAAATATCTGCAGTAGTCCGGAGACGTAGGCAATTTTGGCTGAACTCCGTTATCAATTGGTGTGTCCAATTATTCTGTCTTTATTTCGTTTTTATTTCACTTTCATAGATTTGACTACATAGAAAAGTTTTGTGTATTTTTCCTAACAACTGGAATCAGAGCTAGTTGTTAACTCTCCAATTTTTGTGATGACACTATTCATATGAATAGTGAATTTACTATTCTATGAATAGTAAAAATTTTGTCAGTGCTACAAAATTATCTACAGACGTGTTCCGAAACACGGTAGTTCACAGAAATTGTCAAAAACGATCCAGAAAAGTCAGATCCGAGTTGGAGTGATGGCTGCAGATGAAGGAAAGGTGAAAATCGAGAAGTTCGATGGTGCGGACTTTGGGTTCTGGAAGATGCAGATCGAGGATTACCTGTATCAGAAGAATATGTACGAACCACTCACAGGAAAGAAACCAAAGGGTATGAAAAAGGAGAAATGGACTCTTCTCGACAGAAAGGCCCTTGGAGCCATTCGACTGACATTATCCCGTAATGTTGCTTTTAACATTGCAAAAGAAAAGACGACAGCAGGTCTTATGGATACTCTTTCCAGTATGTACGAGAAACCATCAGCCTCAACACAAAGTTCATTTAATGAGGCGGTTGTTCAATCTACGGATGTCTGAAGGCGCTTCAACGATGCAACATATCAATGAACTCAATACTGTTACAACTCAGTTGAGTTCAGTTGGGATCGAGTTCGATGATGAAGTACAAGCTTTGATACTTTTGTCTTCTCTACCAGAAAGTTGGAATGCTACTGTCACAGCTGTAAGTAGCTCATCGGGAAGCAATAAGTTAAAATTTGATGATATTCGTAATTTGGTTCTCAGTGAAGAGATCCGGCGGAGGGAGTCGGGTGAATCATCAACCTCTTCGATGTGCATACGAGTCAAGAGGAAGAAGTTCAACCAAAGAAAGCGGACGCGGAAAATCAAAGGGCAAACGATCCAAGTCCAGAAATCATCATAGTTCCCAAAACTCGAAGCAAATCGAGTGTTGGAATTGTGGGAAGACCGGGCATTACAAAAATCAGTGCAAGAATGCACGAAAGAATCAAGAAGCGAAGGACGAGGAAAACGTTGCCTCTACCTCAGGGAAAGATGATGTGTTGATATGCTCTTTAGAAAGCAAGGAGGAGTCTTGGGTGTTAGACTCTGGAGCATCTTTTCATGCTACCTCACAAAAGCAACTTTTCGAGAATTATGTTCTCGAAAATCTTGGTAAAGTTTACCTTGGTAATGAGCAATCGTGTGAGATTGTAAGTAAAGGTACAGTAAAGATTAAGTTGAACGGGTCTGTATGGGAATTGAAAAATGTCAGACATATTCCTGACCTGACGAAGAACTTAATCTCAGTGAGTCAATTAGCCAGTAAAGGTTACACAACAATCTTCCACGGTGATGATTGGAAGATCTCAAAGGGTGCGATGACAATTGCTCGAGACAAAAAGAGTGGTACTCTTTACAAGACTGCAGGAGCATGTCATTTGATTGCAGTTGCAACAAATGAAAATCCCAATCTATGGCACCAAAGACTTTGGCATATGAGTGAGAAAGGGATGAAGATCATGCACTCAAAAGGAAAACTACCAGGTCTTCAGTCAGTAGAAATTGACATGTGTGAATACTGCATACTTGGAAAGCAAAAGAGAGTTAGCTTTCAGAAAAATAGAAGAATTCCAAAGAAAGAGAGACTTGAGCTTGTCCACTCTGATGTTTCGGGTCCAACGACTGTCCCATCCGTTGGTGGGAAGCAATATTTCATGACGTTTATCGATGATCACTCCAGAAAGGTATGAGTTTACTTTTTGAAACACAAGTCAAAAGTATTTGAAGCTTTCAAGATTTGGAAAGCTATGGTAGAAAATGAAACAGGATTGAAGATTAAGAAGTTTAGATCCGACAATGGTGGTGAATATGTAGACACCAGATTCAAGAAGTTTTGCTATGAGCACGGAATCAGAATGGAGAGGACCGTGTATGGTACGCCTTAACACAATGGTGTAGCTGAGCGTATGAATGGAAAGTTGACTGAAAGAGCCAGAAGCTTGCGTGTACAGTCAGGCTTACCAAAGCAGTTCTGGGCAGAAGCAGTTAACACAGCAGCTTACTTGATCAACCGAAGTCCATCGGTACCATTAGAGCACGAAATACCAGAAGAGGTATGGAGCGGAAAAGAGGTAAAACTCTCACATCTTAGAGTTTTTGGCTGTGTAACATATGTCCATATCAGTGATCAAGGTAGAAACAAACTTGACCCAAAATCAAAGAAATGCACTTTCATTGGTTATGGTGAAGATGAGTTTGGCTACCGCATATGGGATGATGAAAACAAAAAGATGATCCGCAGCAGAGATGTAATCTTCAATGAAAGAGTGTTGTACAAGGACATGCATAAAACAGGTATTAGCAATTCAGAATCGAGTGGGCCAGTTTTTGCAGAAGTGGAAGATGTCCTAGAAAATCCTATAGTGAGGAGTCCTCAGTCAAAGGAATCAATTGAAGAAGGTAATGTGCAACCAGAACCTCTTACTCCAACTCCTGTATTGAGAAGGTCCTTTAGACCTTATGTGCCAAACAGGAGATACATGGACTACATGTTGCGAACTGATGGAGGGGAGCCCGAAGATTATATAGAAGTTTGTCAAACCACAAATGCTAGCAAGTGGGAGCTTGCCATGAAAGAAGAGATGAAGTCTCTGATCTCCAATTAGACATGGGAACTAGTCAAGTTACCCATGGGGAAGAAAACACTTCACAACAAATGGGTGTATCGGGTGAAGGAAGACCATGATGGTTCCAAGAGATACAAAGTCCGACTAGTTGTCAAAGGATTTCAGCAGAAAGAAGGAGTTGACTACACTAAAATCTTTGCTCTAGTCGTAAAGCTCAATACTATCAGAACAGTGTTAAGTATTGTGGCTAGTGAAGAGCTCTACCTAGAGCAATTAGATGTGAAGACTGCATTTCTCCACGGAGACTTAGATGAGGAGATCTACATGCACCAACCTGAAGGATTTTCAGAAGGAAAGAAGGATACGGTGTGCAAATTGAAGAAGAGTTTGTACAGTCTGAAACAAGCTCCAAGACAGTGGTACAGGAAGTTTGAAAGCTTCATGCACAAGGAAGGTTTCCAGAAGTGCAATGCCG